CTGTTTGCACTTCAGCCAGAGCAATCCTAATCTCCCCTGGGACGATTGGTGCCTCAGACTGAATAGAGGAGGGCCATGCACATGCAGTGGGGCAGTAACTTCATTAATATCTCCAACTGTCACCTTCCAACACATGTGTATGTGCAATAGGTGTATAGCTATGTGGTAATTTAAATAAAATTTTTACAAAGGCCAGGTTTGTTTTTAATTGAAGCCATAGGGGTGAGGGTTGATTCTACGCCAAGAGAAAGAAAGTGTAATTCTCTGTTGAGCACCAGATGAATCAGGCTGTACCTTTCATTTGCAGCCTTCTCCTCTTTTCTCTCTCGGCCTCTCTTCTCGTGGCCTTTAATGAAAAAGCAAACAGCTCTTTTCAGAATACTCAATTTCCAAAGATTTTATTAGACCCCACTCCCATAGACTTGCATATAAAGGGATAGAGACACTAACTGAAATTTGCTGGAAACCTGCAGAAATAGGAGCTATCTCACCGAAGAATCAGCAAATAACACGAAGACATGAATATATATATATATATATATATATATATATATATATATATAGTCTGTGCTTCTTTGGCTTGTATAGGAAGAATCAAAGAACCATGAAATTAATTTTGTTTGCCATTAAAAAATACTAGACCTAGGATCCAGGATGTGATTATGTAATTACAAATTAATTTCAGTTAGCATGCTCTCATCTGAACTAAATGTCAGCAATAGTTATGAGAAGTATGTTAATGAGCATCACAGAAGCTTGGCTGCTTGTTTGTTCTCAGGGAGTAGAGATAAAAGCTCCTGCATCAAGAGGACCTACTGTGGTTTTCAAGACTACCCAAGGCATGTGATCAGTTTAACAGAGAGAAACTCTCTCTCATGGTCCTCCCTAACTGAAAAGGAAGGGATAGAAGGGTGTTCCCAGGCCACAGTCAAGTGCGAAGTAAACATGATGATTACAGCAGCTGAAATGTGAAGTTGAAGAACATTTCGATTCCAAAATGGTGTTCAAGAGCATCTGATGACACATCTATATTTTAGCTCTGGTGAAGTGTGAAAATTAAACGAGTACTCCATCAGATTGTACGGATGAATTATGGCCTCCCCCCTTTTATAAATTGTGTGTGTGTTTTTATAGTCACCGTAGCATACCTCATTTGTGAAAAGACCTTTCTGGCATTCACACGCTGTTTCTTATTTCTTCTTGTCATTTTGTTAATTATATGTTTGCCGAGGAAGAGACCAAGTGTAGCTAAGTCTAGAATTAAACTACATAGCACTGGCGTTTAAAATAATAGTATTTGGCCGTGACCGGTTTGGCTCAGTGGATAGAGCGTCAGCCTATGGACTGAAAGGTCCCGGGTTCGATTTCGGTTGAGGGCATGCACCTTGGTTTCGGGCACATCCCCAGTAGGGGGTGTGCAAGAGGCAGCTGATCAATGATTCTCTCTCATCGGTGTTTCTGACTCTCTATCCCTCTCTCTTCCTCTCTGTGAAAAATCAATAAAATATATTAAAAATAAATAAATAAAATAATAGTATTTGTCATCAAATTGACTGCCTCATATTCAGCCAGCATCAAAGTCAATGGTTGATATTTGTGCTTTCGCAGAAATCTTATGGAAGAAATGATGATTCTAGTTTGTAATGGACCTTTTTCTCACAAATTGTTATTCCTGCCACTCTGTCCTCTAGAATGTGATGAGGGGAAGTTGAGGCAGCTTGATTTATAGAAGAAGACCCAAAAAGGAGCCATGAGGGGGGGGAGGGGAGATAGCTTCTGTCCATGCCATCTGGATTCTCACCGAAGCCTCCCTGCATGTATATATGTGCCCATCGCTGCTTTCTCTGTGTGGAAGTCCAGTACTTCAGCTCTTCATGAGTTCTTAGCAACAAGACAGCTTGTTCTGTGAAGTAGGAATAGATTACAAAGCCCAAACAAGAAATTGCATACAGTAAGGTGTCCTGGTTTGCTTTAGAACATTCTTGGGCCTGCAGCCAGGATTCAGGCAGGTTGCATAAAGCTAAAATTACAAAGCCCAAACAAGAAATTGCATACAGTAAGGTGTCCTGGTTTGCTTTAGAACATTCTTGGGCCTGCAGCCAAGATTCAGGCAGGTTTCCACGAAGGAAATAGTGACATTTCAGTGACCCTGAACCCTGCCTGCAACTCTGATTTTACATTGGGGATGCAGCCATTTTGACCTTGGCTCAGATTCTATTGTTAGAATGGGCAGTCCCCACTTTCTGAAAGCAGTACCTTCTGGAAATATGTGTCACTGGTTGCTCTTATTTACCCACAGGAACAATGGGATTGTGTTCTTGGCAAAGGACTGGGCAGGCCATGAATCTTAAGTATATCCAACACGTGAGTAAATCTGAGCAGCCACGCTCTAAATCCCTCATTGATGAGCCCGTCTTCCACAATAAGCCCCTGAGTCAGAACACGACAGGGAACAGAAACACCCAACTTAACAGCCTTAAGCGGTAAAGATGTTACAATGTCTCACAGAACAAGAATGTCTCACAGAACAAGAATAGGCGAGTCCTTGCTGGCTCAACAGTTTCATTTTGTCTCGGGGGCTAGGGCGCTTTACTTCTGCTCTTTCCTCAGCACAGTGCCTTGAACTGAGTCATGACCCCTCAAAGATGGCTGAGAAACACATGAGCCAATGGTACCCCAAAGAAGTGAATCATTTTTAGCATTTAGGCCCTTCCAGTGAGAGAGAAAACTTTTCCAGGAGCCCCATGCAGACACCCCCTGAAGTCTTTGTCCATGGAGCACCCAGGACATGATCCTAGACTTTCATCCTCTCCTTTATTTCCTTATTCTCCATGACCCACCCTTTCTGGTTTTAAATAAGCTGTCCTCTACCCTCTCTGTCTATGTGTACTATGTTAGTATCCATCTTCATTAATTTGACCTGTTCTCCCTGCTTCCAGTTTACCTTTTACAGTGCCATTGAACTGATCTTTAAAACACAGATCTCACAATGTCACTGTCCTGCTTAAAACCCTTCAGTGGTTCCTAATCACATATGAAATTAAATTTCCACCCACACCCCCAGCTATAAGAATGACCTCTCCCCTCTTTAAAAAAAAAAAAAATCCTACATGGCAGCTCAATACAGCAGATAATGGACGGAGAGCAGCTGTGGCTGGAATGGGGAAGGGGAGGGGGCTCAGAGCTCAGGCTCAGCCAGGTGGATGCCTCTGCTTCCCTCTCGTGGAAACCCCAGAGCCTTTCTTTGGATCCTCCGTCGTCAAGGCAAGTGGACCTATTAGGCAGTTAAATTGGACCTCAGGAGTGTCATTCAGGCAGCAGCATAGACTTCGATGGCAATGGAAGGGAAGGTCAGGAGCGTACTCTCTCACAGTATGCGGAGTGAGAAGGGAAGAGGGCCTTCTAGAAAGACAGCTCCAAGAGTTATGGTGATAGAATGCCCCCAAGTCATGTAACACAATGTTTTTATTTCATCTTTCAAACTCTGGCAATGTGCCTTATAGGGAATTTATGCTTTGATTGTGTTAGACAAGTCAACCTAATCAGGTGCTTGCAGACAAGGTGAGGATGGTTTTGAAGACCAAAATGTAACTAATATCAAAAACTGAGAATAACAAATTATACCTGTATGAATAGTTCCTGTGTTTACATTTTCATTCTTATAGTGTGTGTGTGTGTGTGTGTGTGTGTGTGTGTGTTTTAAGTAAAACATTTGCAATTGGCTTTGATAATCCCTAACATAAGTCTTTTTCCCTTTCACAGGATTTCCATATCAGAAATCCTGAATTGACCAACATTTCTTGTGTTTCCATGTCTGATCAGGGTAGTTTGGGGTTAAATGGGCTTAAGAATGGAATTTCAAATAGAGCAATAAGAACTTGAATATGCTAATTATTCTCCCAGCTCTCGATAGCAACTTATATTTATTCTTTATGTCTATTTAAGAATTCAGTCTTTTATGTTGTTCTGTGAAGACTAAAAAGCTGTTTAGATGCAGTTTACATTCTGTGATGGAATATGACTTTCTTAATGAGGAGTTTAAATATTAATAAAGACTAATTGATGAATAATTTTAACAAGCAAAGGCATTATCAGTTTGAAGCAAGCACTTAAAGGCTTGTGCATTCCAGCAGGTATTTGCATACTCAGTGGCATTGTCAAAAGGGAGGGAGGAGGTAGGAGAGGAGTTGGACAGGCATCGGCAGATAGTGAGGGCGGCTCCAATTAGACCAGACTGTCCAACTCTATTTGCTTTAATCCATTCTCATCCCAAGAAGGGTTTGAAGAGAGCGTGTCTTTTTGTCTCGTGTGAGCTCCAGGCAAGCAGGTCTTCAATCTTGTCACCTACCCTCTCTCCCCAACCCCCGCCAAACCCTCCCTCCTGCCTACGGAAGCCTCATTTCTGCCATCACTGTAGGTTTTTCTGCTTCTACCTTTATGGTCTGCCCCCATCACACCCTATTTCTAACCACTAGTCTTTGCTGTCAGGCTGTGCAAGCAAATTTGTATCTGCAGCTCCCTCACAGCTCCCGATGGCTTCATGGGATCTGGCTGCTGGCATCTGTCAATTACTGGCTCTTCCAGGCTGTCCAGCTGAGGAACGCCCCACCCCCCACCTACAACTCTCCTCACTCTCCAATGGATCTTCACAGAAACTGGGCACTGGCGAGAAGCAGAAAATATGTATCAATTGTCTGAAGCTTCACACTGATGGTTATTCTCTCCTAATCCTTTTAAATGTGATACGTGTTTAAATTATGAGTAGCGGAGACAAAATGACTTGGGAAAATGATAATGTTGTGCTAGCCTGTTTCAGTGACACGGTAACTTGGTTAAGAAAATTGGCTGTCAGATTTGATCAGTGTGGTTGATGTGAATAGCTGTCATTCCCGGGCTGGCGTAGAATTCTCCCCCCGCAGGAACGGATTAATGACCGAAGGATCCAGTCACCCTCCATGCATTGCTGACCTCCTACACTGCCTCCCTCTTCTGCTTTTCAGGTACCACGTGCTTGATTGCTCTACTATCGGATAAAGACCTCACCGTGGCCAACGTGGGTGACTCCAGAGGAGTCCTGTGTGACAAGGATGGGAACGCCATTCCCTTGTCTCATGATCACAAGCCTTACCAACTGAAGGAAAGAAAGAGGATCAAGAGAGCTGGTGAGCTTGTGAACGCCTCCGAGCCCTGTCTGCTGTCTCACTGGGTAGACAGGGTTCTTACTGGATAGCCACTGGGGCATAAGAGGTTTAATTACTAGTGATTAGTAGCCTCCCACAGAGGCTGCTGCTGAAGTCGTGGAAATTGGATTTTGTAATATTGCCTAGCAAAAACAAACAAACAAACAAACAACAAACAAACAAACAAACAAAAACAGCCACTGAATTTGTCCTTCTTCATGGTCAAGGATTCCAGCAGGGCCAAAAGAGCCTTTTGCTCATTTAAAGGCTAACGAGATCTTTGGTTGCATATCCCGCTTCCCTCCAGCCATGCCAGACTACTAACCTCTCTCCAAAGGAACTGTGTTTCTGATACCTCATGCTTTTTTTCTCTGTTTTAAATATATTTTAATTGATTCTAGAGAGAGAAGACAAAATAGGGAGAGAGAGAAACATCCATGGGAGAGAAACATCGGTCAGCTGCCTTCCACGCGCCTTCTACTGGGGACCAAGCTCTCAACCTGGAATTGAACTGGTGACCTCTCCATGCATGGGATGATGCTCAACCAACTGAGCCACACCAGCCATGGCTGAGAGCTCATGCCTTTGCAAATGCCGTTCTCACTATCTAGTAGGTAGCAGTTACTTGTCCTCTAAGACCCAGCTTAAGGGCGTCCTTTTGGAAGCCCTCCCTGTCACACTGTACCATGGGCTCCCCGCGGCTGGGTTAAGCGCACCTTCGTTCCATCCTCTGTGGACCTCATGGGTCTCCTTTTACAAAGCATGGCTCTCTTGTCTGTCTCGCCTTCACAACTGGGAGTTCCTTGAGGTCAAAACATGGTCTGTTCATTTCTCCAAGCACCTTGCTCAGTATCTGATACAAGTAAATACTTTAGGGAGTGGGTATCCCCCCCCCTTTTTTTTTTCTTCACAGCTAATAGTTGGGGATATAAGCTTGCATTCTGGCATTGGGGTGGAGATGGAGAATTCGGTAGACAGCCTTCCTTTTTGGGACACCTATGTCCCCTCCTGCTTTTGCGTGACAAGTTGCTGCACCCAGTTGGGCCAGACCGTATTAGTCTTTTAGTCTCCATTCCTGATGGTGTCTCCAACAGTTGTCGCAGGATCACTGTGTTGGGGGCCAAGCCTAGCAATTTACATGCGCTTTCTCTTTCCCTACCTTGTGACAGCGATTCTGTCATCCTCACTTTACCACCAAGAAAACGGAGCCTCCCAGAGGCTTGTGTACACAAGGACACCTGGCTAATGAATGGTAAAACCAGAACTGAGACCAGGACTGTCTGACTCCAGAGGCCCGTGTTCTTGCCCATTAGACCACACTTCCTGAAATGTTCTCAGATACCCACAGCCCATGAAGCTCACTCTGTCCTGATCATCACAACTGGAAATCATTCCTTCCTCCTCTTCTGTGGGTGCCCATCTCTCCTGCGAGAATACTACTTTGTGCTTGGAGCTGTTGATAAACACAGATTTTCTTTCCTGCCAGACTGTCTAGTTCTTTAGAGAATGGTCTGGATTTTGCACAACGTTATAGCCTACAAATCACCTTGCATGGAGTATGTATTTAATAACTTCCTGACAAATATGCGAATGAACAAAGTTCTAATTACTTTAAAGAAAAGTAATAGTATATACTATTGAGTGCATGGTACATTCAGGCACTGTTCTAAGTGATATACACAGAATAACTCCTTTCTTTCTCACAGCTCAATGGAATAGGTACTATTATTGTCCCCATTATTGCAGCCAAGGAAACTGAGGGTTAGAGAGATAGAGTTTCTCATCCAAAGTCACAGATAGCTGGAAATAACGGGCTAGGAATTAAATCCAAGCAGCCTGATACAAAAGCTGAGCCTTGAGACACTGTGTTAAAATACATAGTGATTTTTGTGTTTGTTTTTTTTTTAAATCCTGATCCTATTTGGGGTACTGTTTTGAGAACTATAGAGGCACAACCAAGGACAGTCTCAAGCTAAATGATGAATTCCAGCGTTGTTTCTGGTCCCCAACCACCTGCCTTTTGCTACTCTCTTCAAATCCCCACCCCAATGCTTTCTACTGTCAATCACTGAGCTGTCAAGGTGTCAAGTTAAAACTGATACCCTGATGCCCTCATACTTACCTGGCAGGGGAGATACCATGATCACGAAGGTGGTTTTCCCAGGGCGAGGCTTATCCACTGCACTCGGATGTGCTGACCCCTGCTATTTCCCCAAATGTGGGAAACTCAGCTGCATAATTTGTTGTAGTAGGGGACTGCATTTGCAAAAAGAAAAAAAAATAAATTAAAAAATAATAAAAAATAAAAACCCGCTGCCCTCACCCATACACATCTCCTATCCTCATTATTCGTATTGATATTTTCTTGAAGTCGTTTAACTTCAAGGATGAGGGCAGGAGGATCTACTGGTAGAGTGTCAAACCTCAAGCCATGCTGCAGGGGTACTGTTCCCTCCTGGCAGTGCCAGGGTGGGGTGAGGGGAGCACATGCGATATGTCACCTGCAGCCGGTCGGCCTTCTGCACACGTGCCCAGACTGTGTATCAGGTGTGTGAGCTTTCTGCTGTTGGTCAGGCTAATGATCTTGTTCTCTTCCCAGGTGGTTTCATCAGTTTCAATGGCTCCTGGAGGGTCCAGGGCATCCTGGCCATGTCTCGATCCCTGGGGGATTATCCGCTGAAAAATCTCAACGTGGTCATCCCAGACCCAGACATCCTGACCTTCGACCTGGACAAGCTCCAGCCCGAGTTCATGATCCTGGCGTCGGATGGCCTCTGGGATGCCTTCAGCAATGAGGAAGCTGTCCGCTTCATCAAGGAGCGCTTGGATGAACCTCACTTTGGGGCCAAGAGCATAGTTTTACAGTCGTTTTACAGAGGCTGCCCTGACAACATAACAGTCATGGTGGTGAAGTTCAGGAATAGCAGCAAAACAGAAGAGCAGTGAGCCCTTCGGGGCTCGGCTGCCGTAGACTAAAGGACTTTCAACACACTGGTCTCTTTTAATGTCGTGAAGCTGTGGCAGTGACGGTTAGGATCCCCCCTATCCCAGACGTGGGATGCCCCCTCCCTGGCGGTCTTAGGTCTGTACCCAGTGACGATGGAAAGAGGGCCGATGTTGAGAGGCTGCAAGATTGTTTCTTTCACGACTCCCAATCCTCCCCATCCAACCTTCGAAATGTACAAGTAGCTAGTCGTAGAGTCACACGTATGAAATGAATGGCGTAGGTGCCATGTGTTCTCCCTTTGAAGGTTCTTTTCAAGATTTCAGGATCCCTTACAGGGCCCTCCAGGCATCAGACTTTGGAGCAGTGAGCAGGGCAGGCTGCCCAGAGCTGCAGGAGATAAGGCCCCAGCGTCTCCTGCCCGTCAGGGTGGCAGTTCTCTTACTGAGCGCAGAGCTGCCCTGAGAAAGCTTTCCCCTCCTGGGCCCAGGTTTCCCACGCCACAGAAACCGATTTGGAGTGCTTTGCTGTTCTGTGGCTGCTCTTGGAGGGAAGAAGGGAGGCTGCAGCAGCTACACAGCAGAAGCAACCCTTTCCCTCCTCCCTTTATTTCTTAAATAGACTTGTACACCATCTAGCCGGTCTTTGTGCCAGTCTTTCCGCGCTGATCCTAATCCTGCATGACCTTAACCTTTTGCTTATACCTTACTGTATGTAATAGGCAGCTGTTAAACTTCACAACTGGAAGCCACAATTTTTTTATTTTTATTTTTTTGTCACCAAGAAACCTATTAGGCAGAAATCAGAAAAGCAAGTCACAGTATCATAATTCCTTCCATCTTTAAGGGGAGATAGAGGGGAAATAGTGGCTGAATAAGTCACAGAGCCCCCTTGGGAAGTTGCTTGTTTGCATTGGGAGAGAAAGCTGGGAAGGTAACCATCCTGAATTGAGCTCCAGCTGCCAGTTTTATGCCCGCTCTCTCTTCTCCTATCCTAGTAGCTTTCAAGGAGTGTTCTGGGAGGCATCGGAACTGCATGAGTATTTCTCGAAACCCAGGCCAGAGTTCCCACCCACATTTTGGAGTTTGGTGGTAAACTGTGGGATGCGCTTTTCCATGGCCATGGAGAAGCAGGTAGCTTCGCCAGGCCAACCATTCAGTGACCAAAAAGCGGGTTGGGAATTCAAGCTCAAACCGGTATTGTAAGACAGCCCCGAGTTATTCTGGGGCCAGGCTTGCTGCTCTCTGTTTCCTATTTCCAAAGTCACATTTCCAATCTCAGTATTTTATAAATTAATTGACAGAAAATGCTCAGGCACCCTGTTGGCCTGAATGTGGTGGCTCAAGTAGCCAAACAGGATTTTCCTTGGATTCCCAGCCCTGTGTCTGAAATACCAGTGTCTACCTGCCTCTGTTCTTTCTGAGTCAGCATTTGTCATTTTAGCTTCTCAAAGGCCCCATTCGCTTTCCTCAGCTGGGGTTTTTTTCTGAAGCAAGTTTCAGAGAGAACCCAGGAGGATGAAAAGAGCCCCTCACGGTCACCAAGGACTGCAATCTGTTGATTCCTCCCAGCACTTACCTATCTTTGACTCCAATGAGAATGAATAATAGTTTCCCAAGAGCTTTGATTACTTTCGTAAATTGTGACTTAAAAAATCCAACATTAGGATTAGAACCTTAATAATTTTTTTTAGCCATAGAGAGTTCTAGTACAAAATACCTACCACCATGTAGACTGAGCTCTTTGCCTAATCAAGAGGCACTGAACAGTTGGATGCGTGTATTTGGGGTGGGGGTCAGGAGGAGAATGTGGGGAACACACTGACTGTGGTCATTGTGGGACCATCAGAGTTTGCTTGAAGATTTAGGATATTCTAACTCCAGAGAGTTATCAAAGCCCATCATCCAACTCAAGCTCAAGAATAAGCTCTTTCATTTTATGGTACACAGTTAGTTTTCCTTTCTATTTTTAACTTAACTCCAAAATTCATAATTACAAAGAAAGATGTTTTTAAATGCCATGATCATTGTTGTTGTCCAAAACGAAAATAGTATGGTTTTGGTGAAGATGAAGAAGAAAGGCTACTAAGTTAAATTAGTAAGTTAGTGTTGTTTGCTGCAGAACATCTCAGTAGGGGGTGCTGAGGGCAGGAGTGCATGACTGCCCCCCAGCTGAGGTTTACATGGCATCTATGTTTTGCTTTGTAGAATTAATTTCTGACTTTAACCACATAGTATGTGTATTTCCTATTCCCTTTCTCCCCTTTTTCCTCTGTAGATTTTTAAAAGATAGAAGTTCTAAGCAAAATAGCAGTTTGGTTAATACCTATGTCTATAAAATACTACAATCAGAGTATTTTGCTCCCTTCCCCTGTCCTGGGGCACGTGCTCTCTCTCTCTCTCTCTCTCTCTCTCTCTCTCTCTCTCTCTCTCTCTCTCTCTCTTTCTTTCTCCCTCCCTTCTTCCCTCCCTCCCTCCTCCAGCTATTTGGGGCCTACAGAACCACACTTGGGGTGCACTGTGGCTCCTGGCTGTTCCCTTCTTCTAGGGACAGGGAAGTTGAATGTAGTCACTAGGGAAATTGAGTTGAGCGTTTGCATGTGAAGCCTCCCTAAGCAGCACTGCCAAAGCTTTGGATCGTCCACCAAGGCTGCCCAGACTCCCCAGCCCGAGTTCTCCTTGCCAATAGCTACCATGGTGCCAAATCTGGGATGGCTTTTCAGTCTTTTGGAAATGAAGCTGGGAACGAATGACCACATGCCATGAGCCCCCAGCAAGATGCCAAACCCAGGCCTCCTCCATGCACTGCTCTGCTACTGCTCCACTGGCCATTCTTAAAATGGATTGGAATTGGGGGGGGGGGGGGAGGCGGGGGTGTTAAGGAAGGGACATTTTTAAAAAAAATCATTGTATTTGCAATTCTCAATGGAATAAATGATACTTACATAGAAAATTCCAAAGCTAGTTCCCAAGACCTGCATTTATTTAATGTAAACCATTAGATCAGCTCTGAAGTTGTAGTTCCCATGCACATATGCACATATTACTGGTTACCAGTGGCCTCTTGAATCTAGTCTATGTAATACTCTTATTTCAGAGAGTGTTTTAGAGAGTGAAGGGGCATATGTAATCTGGATAAGTTTAAAAATATATATTTTATTGATTTTTTTACAGAGAGGAGGAGAGAGGGATAGAGAGCTAGAAACGTCAATGAGAAACATCGACTAGCTGCCTCTTGCACACCCCCTATCGGGGATGTACCCACAACCAATGTACATGCCCTTGACCAGAATTGAACCCGGGACCTTTCAGTCCACAGACCGACGCTCTACCACTGAGCCAAACCGGTTTTGGCAAATCTGGATAAGTTTAAACAGGCCTTATTTCATACAACTTGAATGATTTCAACCCATGTACAGGATTGTATGAGAGTGGTGGCATCGTCATTTCAATCCCATCTAAGGTAATTTTAGGAAATTGATTACACTATTGATTGGGATATCTATATCACTGGGCTATCTGACAATACACAAGGGATTCAGAAAGGCAGTAATCACTGTTTTCTTTACCAGGTAAATCTTTGGGTCCCCCACCCCTGAGTTGTTTTCAGGTCAAACTCTTAAATCTGAATCAATGCAGAAGGTTTAGAAAGGGCAACATTTCATTGTACATTTCAAAGTATAGAATAATACTCTGGGTAAACAGTTTCCAATGATGTCAGATTTTTTCCCCTCCTTTTGACCCATCTTTAGACTGATCTTCCCTTTATGCCCTCCCCTCTCCCCCAAATTGCCTTAGCTTGTCACACCAGCATTCCTGACCCAGAAATGACATGCCTGTTAGATACCACACTGGGGCCTATTTAACTGCCTCTAGATTAAATCACTGATAATCTAGACTTTTGAGCAAGTTAGCTGCATACCACCGGAGTCATAGAATCTCAATATCTCCCAAAGTGAGTTCCACAGAACACACGTTCCAATGATGCTCTTCCAAGTACAGGGTTCCAGGGTGAAAGCAGTTTGGAAAACATGGCCTCTGAGAAAGTTAGTGCAAATAAGCACCTCGAAGGTTCTAAATCAGATGTCCTGCGGAAGGGAAGAAGCACACCACGGATGTCATTTCAGTGAGGGTAGTGTTTTCCAGATTAATCTGACCACAGAAGCTTTTTTGAGTAACAGTAACATTCCAAGGAGCTCCTGTCCCATAGGACCCTCTTTGGGAAATTTTGATATATGGAAATACGACTGTTTTTTCATCCACTGTGGTATGACTCCTTGGATTTGAAGTACAATTTGTAATTTAGAAGCACCAGTCCTTTGGAGTAAGAGGCTGAGCTGTTCATGACAGCAGTTTTAAGAAAGAGCATCATTTACTATGGCCCTCAGCAGCCTCGCATTGACGGTAGAAGCCCAGCAATCCTACCTGAAGCCCCAACCATTGTCTCTCTTCTTCTATGTGAATACTCAGCGAAGTCTTTGCCATCCAGTGTGAATCAAAATAAGTATTTTTACATTTCATCATCATTGGGAGTAAAATATATATATATATATATATATATATATATATATATATATATATATATATATATATATATTTAAAATAATAGAAAATGAGGGGGAAATTATAAACGATTAACACATACTTACTCTGTTCTGTTCTTCTTTCCAGAATCAGTGAAATCATTTAAAAATCACAGCTCATCTGTTCTAAAACCCCTGTCCCATGTTGTCCCACCTTTCACATTTTCTGTACAGAATTAAGTTGGGTGAGTTATCTCTTGCCTAAAATGTCAGGCTTATTGTCACTCTCAACCTGGACAATGGGTTCTGGAAACTCAGAGAGATAATCTCAAAATAACAGATGAGACAAATTTAGTCAAAAACATGGTACAAAGTGAATTTAAGGAAAAGTCATTAACTTAAAATCACATCCAATATTTAGTAATATGCCTGCCCTCCGGACGTTACCCAAAATAATAAAATTTAAAAAAAATAAAAAATAAAAAAACCTGGAAATAAAATCACTTAGATCAAGAGGAAGATTACAAAGAGCAGGTGACAGTCGAAACTCTTGCTTCCACTAGACGTATGCTTCTCCGCATGTTCCTAACATGGAAAAGTTTTGCTGACTCTTAGTAATGTGGGTGCTTTGTCTGCTTTTAATTTTTTCCACCATGTAGTTGAAAACTGTTTAACCAAGGGATGATTATAACAATTTTTACGTGTTTAGTAGCAAAACACACCATCATCTGTATAATCATTTCAATAAATCCAAAGGTGAGGACTTGGAAGAGAGCAGGTAGTAACTGTTTATTTTAACAAATCATCACAGGCATTTTCACAATTCAAAACTGCCCCAAAGCAAGCAAGCAGCAAATATGTAGATTATATTTAGAAAAACCAAGCAATGCTTTTAAAGAAAAGGAGCGACACTGTTTATTTAAACTGGCGACCTCAGAGGAATAACTTTCCAAATCTGAGTAAAGTAACATGCAGGGGGCTTCTCTTTTATATCTTTCTGGAGTCTTTGTCCCACAAATATGGGTCATATTTCCGGTCCTTTTCGTGGCTTTGCAAGAAGGCCACCAGGTGTTGGAGGTCACCAGGCCATATCTGATGGTCTGGCCAGGTGCCAGTGATAATAACCCTCCCTCTGGGGCAGTGCACGGTTCACAGTTTTATGGCCTCTATAACAGGTTCTGCAAGACCAGTTTCTGGGAAAGAGGTAGTGACTCAACTATAGGTTTTCAAGAATGTACACTGGGCTTGCTTGCATGGGTTCAGATTGCTAGCCCCCACCATCCCCCAAATATCAGGGTTACATTGGAATTAGCCTTTTAGCCTCTCTTCCATTTATTCTAAAAGTCTATAAGCTGGCCTCTGACAGTCGCCAGATTCAAATTAATCTCAAAAAATCTCCAGCGACCAGAGTTCCTAAATCTGAGCAAAGCAGCTTACTGTAAAGGCGTGGTAGCAGGTTGTGGCTGGGCCTGTGAGGGGACAGGACAACCTTCCTGGGTCATGGGCCGCCTCTGTAGGAGATGGGTGTCATGAAGAAATTCAGAGGTTAAATGTGATATCATGCATCAGTATCCCCACCTATTTCTAGATTATTTGGATAATGCATAATTTAAAATGTGTCGATTCAGAAGCAAAGGTAGAGTAGTCAAGGAATTGGGGGTAAAAAATAGAATACCCAGATAATAAAAATGTGTAATGTAGGTTATCCAAAATTTGGATTATCAGACTTTTACCATTCACAAGTTGTATTTAATAGTGAGTCTTTTTACATCAGCATACACATGAGTATAAGGCAGTAGTTCCCACTTTTCACCTATTCAAATGCAAGCCTTCCTTCAGAGTTGACTAATACAAGCTTTTAAGATCCTGCTTTGCTTACATGTTAATGAAGACACAATTCTAATGCTTCTTCTTATAGGACTGATGGCACAGGCAGAATCCCATTTAAGAAAAATAGTCTGGTATATTTTAAATTAAAAAAAATACAAAATTAAATTCCATTGTGATCAAAGTCAGAATGTAAAGAAAACATTTTTAAGAAAATATAAAAGACAAAATCATAGGGGAATATACTACAAAAGAAAATATTTTAAATTAAGAAAAGGAGCCATTTTATTACATCACGAATCATGCTTTATGGTATTTGTGCTCTTTCTGATATGAAGGAGATAATATTGAAGTAAGAAAGTGAACATTGAGTTATTTATAAAGCTAGTAAAAGTACAGTCCCTATTTCATTCATCCCTAATGAAAATGGATAAAAAGGGTCTTCTTTATTGTTGTCCTAAACTACCTTTACTGTCCTACAACCTGTTCCCTTTCCAAAGCCTAGACATGATTTTACCCTAAATCCTTAGAATGTGTAAATTTTCAAGAAGGAAATGTCCCATTTTATTTTTTTAATTTTTTAAAAAATATATTTTATTGATTTTGTACAGAGAGGAAGGGAGAGAGATAGAGAGTTTAGAAACATCAATGAGAGAGAGTCATTGATCAGCTGCCTCTTGCACATCCCCTACTGAGGATGTGCCCGCAACCAAGGTACATGCCCTTGACCGGAATCGAACCCGGGACCTTTCAGTCCCCAAGCCGACGCTCTATCCATTGAGCCAAACCGGTTTTGGCGAAATGTCCCATTTTAGAATTTTTAAAAAATAATACAATAGATTGCTAGCCCCCACCAATAGACTGCATGATAGACCTTCCATGTCAGAGGGCTCAGATAAAACTGAGGTCAGATAAACAGTCACGGCTATACGTGAGAGTGAGTTTAACACACTGGTAGTTTTCCACACACCAACATGAGCACCAGTGAGTATTTAGATTAAAACAGAGATTCACAAAAACAAACTCCAGAGTGATTGAATGTTCTTGCTTCTTAGAGATATTTCTAATCCTGTAGAAGTGATGTTATTCGACATCTCTCACCCAAGAGGATGATGACCTCTTGTGCAAATTTTAAATTATCATCTGCCTTAGTATGTAAAGAAAAAACAATGGCTGCTTAGTTTACTAATGAAAAGGTATAAAATCCTGCTATGGGCAGGGTGGAG